TTCTAGTGATTGGACTTTTCATGAAAAGTAATTTTTAGACTAGTTCAACGAACTTGTCCGGAAAAGTAATGAAAAATAGTCGACCTTGAGCATAGAAGACACACAGTTAAATGTCCATCCCGGATATGTTTTTCAAAAACACTTTGGGAACAATATTTGCATTTGTATTCTCGTTTTTTAGACAAATCATTTGTAAAATACTCACAACCTTGTGTTTTTTGGTCATTTGTTCACGAGTTTATTTTAATAAGATATGAAACGAAAATTCGAAAACATCGTTAAAACATATAAAAGTCATGATCAATTGTCGTTTCTTCTTTTTTAAACTACTAGTATTCGCACAGAGCTCAAAATTCGACCATAATCATTATTGAAAAAATGAGGAAAATATATATGCATTTGCATGTTCCTAACATTTTTTTTATTCTTATACATTCGTTCATTGTATATCTGCGACCTTAAACTTTTATTTATTTGAAATAAAATGAATTTAGCTCAAAGCCGAATATCACATAAAATACAACGACCGTTTCCCCTTCAGAAAAACAACTACTCCTTTGGCTAATACCACAACAGGCATTGAATTACATCCGAAGGAAAAACAGCAGAGATAGAAATTAATTTTTAACACTCTCTACTTTGATTTTGCTCACCAAGGAGAACATCATTCTTGGACCGGTTTCGTCCTTATTAGGACTCCTCAGCAAGAAATAGATAGGTTCTCAATTCCAGTCTCTAATGGAATTAACAAATGCTACACATTTCACCAGTATACCATAAAGTTGGTTACGAAGAGAATAAAATTCAAGTAGTGAAAATGGTGTCGCCATCTGTTCTTAGTAAGCAAAATCAAAATGCGCTAGGTACCCAGTTTGAAAACTAGGTGGAATCAAAAAGACCAGGCGGGCAATTTGTAAACGATATAAAATATCAAAACTCAAATGTAATAGTAGTAAAATGAAATAAAATGAATTTAGCTCAAAGCCGAATATCACATAAAATACAACGACCGTTTCCCCTTCAGAAAAACAACTACTCCTTTGGCTAATACCACAACAGGCATTGAATTACATCCGAAGGAAAAACAGCAGAGATAGAAATTAATTTTCAACACTCTCTACTTTGATTTTGCTCACCAAGGAGAACATCATTCTTGGACCGGTTTCGTCCTTATTAGGACTCCTCAGCAAGAAACAGATAGGTTCTCAATTCCAGTCTCTAATGGAATTAACAAATGCTACACATTTCACCGGTATACCATAAAGTTGGTTACGAAGAGAATAAAATTCAAGTAGTGAAAATGGTGTCGCCATCTGTTCTTAGTAAGCAAAATCAAAATGCGCTAGGTACCCAGTTTGAAAACTAGGTGGAACCAAAAAGACCAGGCGGGCAATTTGTAAACGATATAAAATATCAAAACTCAAATGTAATAGTAGCAAAATGAAATAAAATGAATTTAGCTCAAAGCCGAATATCACATAAAATACAACGACCGTTTCCCCTTCAGAAAAACAACTACTCCTTTGGCTAATACCACAACAGGCATTGAATTACATCCGAAGGAAAAACAGCAGAGATAGAAATTAATTTTCAACACTCTCTACTTTGATTTTGCTCACCAAGGAGAACATCATTCTTGGACCGGTTTCGTCCTTATTAGGACTCCTCAGCAAGAAATAGATAGGTTCTCAATTCCAGTCTCTAATGGAATTAACAAATGCTACACATTTCACCAGTATACCATAAAGTTGGTTACGAAGAGAATAAAATTCAAGTAGTGAAAATGGTGTCGCCATCTGTTCTTAGTAAGCAAAATCAAAATGCGCTAGGTACGCAGTTTGAAAACTAGGTGGAACCAAAAAATCAAAGTAGAGAGTGTTGAAAATTAATTTCTATCTCTGCTGTTTTTCCTTCGGATGTAATTCAATGCCTGTTGTGGTATTAGCCAAAGGAGTAGTTGTTTTTCTGAAGGGGAAACGGTCGTTGTATTTTATGTGATATTCGGCTTTGAGCTAAATTCATTTTATTTCATTTATTGCTACTATTACATTTGAGTTTTGATATTTTATATCGTTTTTATTTATTTGTTTATTTATTCACGGGCCTTGCCCACTTTCAGTACAAAGTTACAAATAAAAACAAAAAACCTCAAATAGAGTCAATCTATATAATGTGACATAATAATGATTAACTAATAAACTAACAACAAAAATCATAAATATATTAACATGTACAAAATCGAAACAATTAATATTAATTAAGACTAGGGAATTTAAGTCTCAGTAAGTTTTAACACACTCGCAAAATTAGAAAAGCTTGAATTAAAAAATTCTAGACTATCAGCACAAGCATTGGCGCTTCGGGAAACTCTAGGCATGAATGAATTGAGGCCAGTATTAGTTCTCATGTAGGGCTGATGAAAACTGTTTATTGATCTTGGGCTTCTAGTTGAGGTGGCCAACAACATGCTTAAAATTAATGTAGGACAGTCAACCATATAATGAATGAGCTTAACTGATCTCTTCTTATTCTCAAAGTTGGTAAGGAGAATGTCTCTTGCAGTGCCGCAAAATCATAGGAATAGTCATCTATCCGTGGAATATTTGATTTAAATGCTAAGTAGCGAAGAAATTTTCTCTGAACCTGTTCTAATCTATGAATGTGGCAAGTATACTGGGGGTTCCAGACTGAAGAGCAATATTCTAGCAGAAGCCTAAAAAGACTACAGTACAATAACCTGATTGCATTGATACTTGTAAAGTCTGATGTGTTTCTCTTTATAAACCCAAGCATACCAAGTGCTCTGGGTACCATTGTGTCAATGTGATTGACAAATGAGAGCGTGGAGTCCATAATAACACCCAGATCTCGAATGGGTGCAACTTGGGACACTGGTGTACCCTTGATATTATATTGATAATCAATCCTGTTGATCTTCCTAGTAAAGGATATCGAGTGACACTTAGTGATATTTAGGTCCATAGCTTTATTCGCAAGCCTAGCCAGATCAGACAATCTCTTGAGACAATCCTCAAGAGATGAAACTGTTAGGTAGCACTTTAGGTCATCAGCAAAGCATAAAAACTGGGCAAACTTGAAACATTCTGAGATATCATTTATAAATAATTAAAATAACAAAGGTCCCAAGTGAGACCCTTGGGGAACCCCAGACGGATTGGCGGATTGGGAATATTTTTAGATCTGTAATTATTTTTTTTTTTTTTACGGGTCAGAGCCCATTAAAACAATACAATTACAGATAATACATATTACATACATTAAATAGTAATAAAATCCTAAATAATAATAAATTAATTTAAATACATAAATATTAAAAACAATTAAAAATTACTCCTCACATATACATAAATGGTTAGAAAAATCTGATGGAGAAGTAATCCATTCTACATTTAGTCTGTTAGCAGATCTTGTTACTCTAGGAATAAAAGAGTGAGAACCATAATTTGTTCTATGAAAAGGTTGAGAGAATGTATTAATATTCCTAGTTACTCTTAGTTACTCTAGAGGGTACAGAAAATCCAATTTGGGATTATTCAATTTAACAGTTTGGAATCTTTCAGATAAATAACTCGCCAGCCAATGCAATAATTTTCCCATGATCCCAGCAGTTTCCAGTTTATTTAATTAAAAAATAAATTGCAATAAAATGACAGTACTTAAATTACAAGTTAAATCCCTCATTTATTAATATGATATAAAATACAATTTTTATTTTAAAGTTACTATTGAGGTCTTTAAACAGGGGGGTTGGCTGTGGATAACCACCATCGCTTTACTATATTCGACCGCAGCATGCACCCTGTCATGAACCATATTAAAAATAATCATTAACAGCCCAGAAACGGTATAAAAAAGGGGTGGAGAAGGAAATCGATCTACTCTTCGAATTTTTCTAATTTTTTAATTATCGATACAACCAATATCTCAAAATACTTAAATTACTTTTGGAAAGTGTGTTTGGACTAGTCGACTTTTCGGACTAGTCCGTGGACTTTTCCAAGCGACCCATCACTCATCTGTTCTATAGAAAGGTTGGGAGAATGTATTAGCGTTCCTAGTTGCTCTAGTCTAGAGGGTACAGAAAATCCAATTTTGGATAACAATTAGGGGAAATTAGGGGGGTCTCGAGATGAATAAGAGTGTTTAATTTGTCACAATTGTATTTGGAATTAACAGTGGCGATACCAGATTTGAATGTAACAATCCATAAAAATTTTCTTTGGACCTGTTCTATATTGATATTAATAAACAAAAGATTTCATATAAAAGAGACATATTCAATATAAGGTCTAAGGAACAAAAAAAATCTTTACACATCACATTCTGAAAATCAGAAGTAGGTCTTCTAAAGAAACCCAACATTTTTAATGTTTTATTAACTGGGGCTATTATACGAGGTTGAAAAGAAAGGGTGGAATTTATTATCTGTCTGTTTTCTGTTGAAATAAAAAATTATGTGGCGTCTATGCCATTAGTACACCACTGAACCAAGTTATTAAAGTCTTTTTGACGGCAAATACAATCATGTAGGAGAATTAAAACAGATAAACTGAGAATTCTGAAAACAATTTCGAATCTCTTTAAAGAGTGTGTTTTTTTTAGTTTGGAATCTAGAAGGGAAAATACATGACAAATACTATCAATCCTGAAAATATTACACTTTCTGCCAACATTTCAATGAGCTTCTTTTAACTATGTGCCCTTCATATATTAAAAAGAAGAGGTCCCGAATGTTACCCTTGAGGAACACCAGATTTATCGATAAAGCTAGAAGATAAGAAACCAGAAACACAACAATTTGTAATTGTCAGTGGAACCAAGATTATGTAATCACTAATTTAACATATACAATGTGATGAAATACATGGATAATTGTTATAAATTCATAAGGTTAAAGCTAAATTTAAATATTTTGAGTTGGTGTAAATCTACTTCTGATAATATTTTTGTGGAAATTAAATATACGCAATTTCACTAACCTGGTAAGGTCTAATATCCTGATTGGTATCTTTGCTTTGACTCCTTCTGTCCCGCTCCCTTCTATTATCTCGTTTTCTATCTCTATGTTGATTACTACCACCTCTTCTATGATCTCTGTTATCTCGGTCTCTGCGATTATTTTCTCTACCGTTTCCATCTCTATCAAAGGCACTATTATTGACACCATCTCTGTTGCGATCGTTTCTGTAACCGTCTTTTTGATTACCATCTCTGTGATAAGTGTCTCTTTGATTACCATTTCTATTGGGACCATTTCTGTTGGGACCATCTTTGTTGGGACCATCTTTGTTGGGACCATCTCTGTTGTGACCCTCTCTATTGGGACCATCTCTGTTGTGAACATCTCTATTGGGACCATCTCTATTGTGGCCATCTTTATTGGGACCAGCTCTGCTGGTACCATCTCTGTTGTTTCGGTCCCTATGATGAGAATCTCTGAAATCATCTTCCCACCTTTGATCTCTGTTGTGATCTCTAGTGTTGTAATTGTCTCTAGTATTGTAATTATCTCTATTGTTATGGTTATCTCGGTTGTCTCTATTATAGTTCTTGCTGTCCCTGTAGAAACATTAGATTGAAAAGTTATTTTAATTTATTTAATAAGGGTGACAATTTGCAATGACTATATCTCATGAATTAAAGATATTAGAAAATGCTTAAAACAGTTTCTATGATACAAAGGGACAGGGGCGAATGTGGACGACTCCCCAATTAAAAGGGGGTCGAGGAGTGCTCCCAGATGTTTTTGTAAATTTAAGCCTGTGTTTCAGGCTGTTTAGAATTAAAAAAGCACTAAAAGTTTAAGAAGATTTAGTTTGACTTTTAATTTTTGACCAAGGTGTCCCAAGACCAACCACGAAACGCTCTATACATATGATCACCCTAAATAAAAGATTCATCAGGTGAGTAAAAATGTTAATCTCGGGGAGCCGCCCTTGATTTCAACGATTTTCTGTTAATTCTTGTCCGCATTGTCCAAGTTACGCAGTAATATAACGATTTACAATACAAAAACTGATAATTATTTTTTTATACTCACACAGTGAATTCATCCCCCCAAACGAGAAATTTAAATGAGTGAGTAACAAGTAGAGAGTTGTTATTTTTTTTTTGTTGAAGTAGGTGGAACATATTTTTCATCATTAGAAAACTTGTAAAAAATGCTTTTTAACGATATAAGTTATATCCTATACAGAGTGGTTCGATAGTACATAATTAAAAACGTTTTTTAAAAAGATAACGTGTTTATCTGAATTTTTTTTTTGTGTCATCGGCTTCAACTACCAGGGTTATTTCGCCTCGTGTTCTGTGTATGCTTTGTTACTGTTTCCCAGCGCCACTTTAGGAACAGCACTGTTAATTAGAACCCAACAGTGAATGGTCGAGTGGGGAATCCTACCAAGGCATCAGAATTAATTTTAAATAATTAAATTAAATGAAAAAATTCCGGCCAACGGGGATTCGAACCTGGGACCCTTGGATCCACAGGCAGAGACTCTACCACTGAGCCACCCACCCCCTGTTTATCTGAATTAAATATTTTTTTAATATTTCTGGTTTCGGTTAAGAGATTCTTCATAAAATGTTCTCAGCAAGCAATTATAAATATTTAAGAACTTTTTAACTAAATGTCAAAAAATTATTTATTTAAACATTTAAAACAATAACAAAACTTAAATGGATATATCTCATGAACTAAAATAATATAAAAAAGTAAAAGCTAATAAAAATTTATTTTATATTCCTGGACTAGAAATATTTAAAAACATTTCATTCAGATAAACATTAATATGTGAAAAAACTGAAAACGTAAAAATCAAATAATATTTTAGAAATATTCCCTACTTTTTTCACGCCATAATATACTTTTTTAACTAGTTGTGTAAAAAAATATTACCAATATTCTAAGTAATTTGTACTCAGCGGTTGAGTGCCTACGGAGCGCGTCTCCGGGTGGTGGATGGGAGAACGGCCAGGATTTTCTTGGTTAGTGGTAGATATAAGTAGAGTGAGAGCCTAAAAACTCTCAAAATCTTTTGCGAAGTCTACCGCCGCGAACCAACTCCCTCCAATCTAAGGTGTAAGGTAACGTGCCGATGAATGAATTGTCGCAGGGGTACATGCGACATCGAACGTTTCCTTGGGAGCACCAGCCTTCTCCTGATAATGTGGGGCTCTGTCAGGAGTGACGAATCTTTCCATAGCTACTGGTGGGACTTATATGGACAATAAGGACAACAAACCAAAAGACAAAAAAAAATCGGGACTGTCAGGCGAAAGCAGAGTAGACTCTGACTAAAAACAGGTACTAGCGGGACCTCGGAGCAGGAGGGACAGGGCGGCGCAACCTCCGCATCATTAGATGTGGGGAGTGTGGCTGGATCCAGTTCTTCCGGCACAGGGCGGACCACTATTATGCCAGTATGCTGGACCAGGTGAACGGGGGCAAGCATCTTGTCCTTTCTCTACGGATATGAAACGGAACGCGAGTTCTAGTACTTCACGGACAGCAAAACAAAAAAAAACATAGTGCCAATGAATGCTGGACCAGGGGAACGGTGGCAAGCACCTCGTCCTTTCTCTAAGGAGATGGGACGGAACGCGAGTCCTAGTACCTCAAGGATTTCAAACCAAAAAAGCATAGCTATGTCCAGCGAGCAGGGACGAACCGGGACTCAAAAGAGATACCAGCACGCCTGATAGAGGTAAAACAAAAAGGACTAAGCATGCGAGAGCTGCGGGTTCGGGATCAACTGGTGTCAGATGGGACCGAGCCGGTAGCATCTTGTTCTTAGCCTCTAAGGTAAGCAAAATTGGGGTAGCTATTGCACCAATAGACTATCCCAATAATTTATTAATAACGGAGCAGGGAGACCTAATAAGGACTGCACTGCTTGACAGACTTGAAGAATTAGACGAAGGATGACTTTCACCCAGGTTCTCCGAAGCTAGAATAAGAAACGGGAGTTTAAACCTTTCTTTGTATTATCAAGCAACGAGAGATTGGGTTGAGCAAACCGTTAAAACCATGGTACCTTGGGATGGTGCTAAACTCAAAGTCGTAGACTCTGAGGAAGTAATGAAACCCAAGTTTACCATGACGTGGATACCGGGACCAGCAGTGGAACCGGTAATGAAGGGACTAAGAATTCAAAATTCGGGGCTCCAAACGGGGAACTGGAGGGCTACTGGAAGGAAGTTGGACCCTAGGGGACAGCAACTTTTCATAAACATGGATTCCGTCTCTTGGGAGAAGATAAAGGAGAAGCAAGGAATACTGTTCCTCAGGAAAAAGAAACGCCTACTGAGGTAAGAGAAAACATATCAGAGAATCAGTCCTTGGTCATAGAACCACAAGAAAGTGGGGCTACAGAACAAGAGGCTGACGCTCCAATGGAAATAGGGGACTCGGAATCCACAGCACGTGAGCTAGGTGAAGTCGAAGAGAGGACTCTTTTAGGGGACTCACCTCTGTCTGACCCGGCTGACGTGCAAGAACTATGGGGTACCTTTAAACAAAAATGAAGGTAATCCAAGCAAATATACATCACTGTTGGGCGGCAACAGCTGTCCTACAACGATGTATAATGAAACAAGACATTGATCTTCCAAGAACCTCTTATATACAAGGAACGAATTAGAGGGTTGCATATATCAGGGGACTATGGATATGATTCATTCAGCGTCTGGACACCCAAGAACCTGCATTATTGCAAATAAAAGCTTGAAGGTGTTTCCACTATGGGAATTTTGTACAAATGACCTAGTGATAATATCCCTAAAGCTAGACGGAGGAACTAAACTGATTGTTGGATCCGTATATCTGCCATCTGACCAACCTGGGCTCCCCCCTCCCACCAAGGAGGTGAGAGAACTGGTTAGTCACTGTGAAAAAACAAAATCGACATTAATAACGGAGGAAAAGCTCTTCTGGAATGTATTGCTTCCAATAAACTAGAAGTTGCAAACGTTGGAAGTAACATCTGTGCAAAGGGAGGCAATTGATATAACCCTTAGGCATAGGCATATCATGTTTAATCTGTGTAGAAAAATCTCGTGTGAGAAGACATATCGTAATCCTGGGACCTGTAACTGGGGGGCTTTCAAGGAAGAGCTCAAACAGGGACTGGAGGACTGTCCTCCGACACCGAAGAATTCAATGGAAGTTGAGGTTGTCAGAGTTTCTGACACGAACCCTAACCAACACGTTTGAAAAAACTACCCTTTAAATTTAGGAAAGAGGATCGAGACGCTGTATGGTGGAATCGCGACCTTTCCAAAAAAAGAGCAGAAGTTCGTAAACTCTTTAACCTGTCCAAAAGGTCGGGAAACTGGGAAGCATATACGGCGTACCGGAGATGGCTATACCATTAGGAATGCCAAAGAAAATTCCTGGAAGAAATTATGTGACGGCATTGAAAGCCTTCCAGAATGTTCCAGACTCAGGAAAACTCCACAGAGAGATAAGCAAGGATGCATGGGATCTCTGAAAAATCAACAAGGAGAACTCATAAAAACAGAGGAGGAGACTTTAGATTTACACTTTCCGGGATGTGAGATTATTCTCGACCAAGAGAACAGGAATATCGAGGCAATAATTTCTAGGGCCTCAAAAACAAACTGATCTACTGCAAACTCAATAGTGAATAGAACAAAACTTGTGTGGGCGATAACCATACAAAACAGCTGGGCCCGATGGTATAATCCCAGCACTTCTACAAAAGGGCCAGGAAGTACTGGAAGGACCACTGTATAAACTATTCCGAGCTAGCATGGCCCTCGGATATGTTCCACAAAGCTGGAGGTGTGCAAGAGTTGTCTTCATTCCCTAACCCGGGAAAGCATCTTACGAGGAGACCAAATCTTTCAGACCAATCAGCCTAACATCATTTCTCCTAAAAATATTGGAGAAATTGATCGATAGATATATACGGGACGATGTTCTACGGGATAAACCGATACATCGATACCAGTTTGCCTACCAATCTGGAAAGTCTTGCGATGCAGCCATACATAGGCCAGCTCAACAGGCTGAACAAGCATTGGAAAGCAAAGAAATAGCACTAGGAGTCTTCCTATATATAGAAGGAGCCTTTGATTCGGCTTCATACAATTCAATACTGGGATCTATGCACAGGCGTGGAGTAGCCCACTGCATTACGAAGTGGGTCGAGTTCATGCTTAATCATAGAACCATTACCAGTAATCTTCTTAACACAAGAGAGGTCTCAGTTAACAAGGGATGCCCGCAGGAAGGAGTGTCTAGACCTTGGTGGTTGACGACCTCTTATGGGAATTAGAGAGAGAGAAAACTTATACCCGCAAGCATTTGCAGACGGCATAAGCATCGTAGTAAACGGTAAATTGGGGTCTGTTGTATCCGAAAGGATCTCAGCGGTTGAGTGCCAACTGAGCGCGTCTCCAGGTGGTGGATGGGAGGACGGCCAGGATTTATTTCTTGGTTAGTGGTAGATATAAGTAGGGTGAGAGAGCCTAAAAACTCTCAAAATCTTTTGCGAAGTCTACCGCCGCGAACCAACTCCCCCAATCTAAGGTGT